TTTACGTTACTACGACATATATATATATATATATATATATATATATATATATAATATTTGAATATACAAATGTCATTTACCGGAAATGATCAATAGCATATTCTAAGAGAGTGTGAGGTTTGTCACGAGATTCTACTCCATTTACTTGCTGCGGATACAATTTTCGGCCATTTTCTGTTCCTTCGATGCTGAACAAGGACTGAAAAAAAAAAGAAAAATCGTTTATAATTTAGAAGATTATTTTCACGTATGCAAAAAAGGAAAACAATTTGTAAAAAATGCGTTCGGATTACCAAAATATCGTTTGGTGGTTTCGTTAGCGAGGGCAAAACATAAACTGTCTCGGCTGGAAAATCGCCTTTTTCGCCGGTTCTTTCGCACGTGCCGACGCACCATCCCGAATTAAGAACAGTTTCGCCGGTACTTTCCTCCTCCAAAATGATGAGATCCCCCTTTTGAAAAGTCAAAAACGAGGAACCTTCACCTGGTGCTTTGTAATCTTGCAAAGCGATAACGTATTTACTACGTTTTTTCAGACCTTCCAAGAAGTATACCACCAAATCACGAATATCTTCGGCATTAGGGCTTTGAAAAGTAAATTCTTCTCCTCGCACCGTTGACAAATTGAACGTTTGCGTGAACATTTTATTAGTTCTGAAAATTATGGATGGAGTTGGGATGATAAAAATAATCGAAACGAGAGAAAATTGCGTGGAAAATAGATCAGATAAAAATGGACAAGGAAGTCCAGTGGGGAAACGTACTTTTGACTAGACACGGTGGTAATCTCGGGAAACGACAATTCGAGAAGTACTTGTTCTTGATCATCTACGACGTATACTCCGGTCCAATTGACAGCTATAATAACATCATTTTTTGGCAAATTCGGGCCAGAATTTCTATACGCTTCGTAAAAACGAGAAAAAAGCAATGGCCACTTAAATTTGGCATAACCAACGATATCTTCTTTAACGCGTAAAGCAGGTACCTTCTCCTTTAAATAATAACTCTGCAAGAAGAAACATTTCGGATAATTGTTGATTCGAATGAAGCAAAGATAGATTTATATTAGTCACCTTTTTATATGCTTGCAAAACAAGATGTCCCCATCTATCGATCGCTTTGTCAATACCCGTCAAACAATAGTCTGGAATATAATTCGGCAAAAGGGTATATAACCTATCCACGTTCATGTCTGTGTGATATTCGATGTAATATTGTTGAGCGGCGATCATTGCCAAATCTTCTTCCTTATCGCAACGATACTCGCCAAATTTGACCCCTCTAACTACCTGTTGATAAATTAAATTAGTAGCGACTTGATCCTCGGTCGGCTCGTGCCAAGGTGCGAATATCTCTTTTCTGAAGAACAATCTCCACGGAGCATTCCTTTCTTGAGCACCTTGTTCCTTGGCGTATTGCTCGCATTGGGAGATGGCATCCATCACGTGATCTCCACCACTACCAAGGGACGATACTTTATCGAATAACGCGATGTAAAGGGAAAATCCAAATTGATCGCGTAACGATATTTTATCGGACAATTGATTGCACAATTCTCTGGCGGTGGTTGCAGAATCGGCAAGTAATGTTTTAGTATTACCATCCATAAACGTGATTGGTAACATGATAGGTTTCTTCGATTTGGTCGCTTGAAGTTCCAACCAGCTCGGCGGTTGATTCCGTGTACCGTTGTTGAACGTTCTCTTGAGCCGATCCTCGCAATACGGTGCATATCCAGGCGGTCCCTCCCTAATGAATGCTCGCAAATAATTGACAAATTTCTCGGACGGTGCGAAACATCCGACGCAAAGCGAGAGCAAAATCCAACCGCGAGCGTGCGAAGATTTGGAAGGGTTATTCGTCAATTGTTTACATATTTGACAATATATCTCGTCTCTCAGCTCGGCACGTAATATTCCGTGACCAATAATAAAGTGCAGCTTTTCGAGATTCGAGGTGGGTCTTGCCTCCAACCAAGACTGATAACTATCCGCCGTGTATTCGTCTTCCTGTAACTTTCGTCTCACATCCTCGCCTAGTTTGTTTTTCCGTTTCAACGTCAATGAGACCAACTTGTGTCTTATCGATCGTGGTTTCTGCCTGAGAAACGTTTCCGGATCTACGCCCATCATTTGTGCTTCTTGGAATTCTTTGCTTCGAATGAAATTACGGCCAAGCGTGGCAGTAACTTTCGACATGACCGAAGTCGTATCTCTGTCCATCGTATGAAATCTAGGCTCGGGCAAATCTCCGGTGAAACGAAGTATCGTGATCCATAAAGCTTGCGCGGCTAACTGGTCTCCTTGGGTATGCAAAGGCAACAATGGATGCTTCAACGGCTTTCTCGAATATTGATGCGTGATATTCCCTTGGAAATAGGTTGCCGCAAATTTTTGGAATTTGAACTCCGATAAATCCTCCTCATCCTCCGAGGCCGTTTGAACAGGACTGATGATTTCCTGTTGATCCGCCTTTGGAGCTGGTAGATCGTTGAATACAGAAGTTTCCCTGGCAGGGGTGGAGCCTCGCTGCTTGAATCCGGCAAGAAATCGAACATAGCCTCGACCAATTTGCTATCATCAACCGGCTCATCTTGCTTCTTAGCTGCGTCGTTTATTAGATTCTTTTTAATTCCATTCTACGCCGATCTTCCAATTCCATCTCTATTTCTTTCCTCTCCAACTCTTGCATTCGTTCCCTATAGTTTTGCTCGGCAATTTCTTTTGCCCGTTTGTTACCTTGGTCTTTCAATTCCCGTTCCTCTTTCTTTCGAAGTCTCAACGCTTCGACGTGCAACCGATACTCGTACTTGATCTTTTTGTACCGTCTCTGCGCGATCAGTCTTCGAACATGAGCCTGTATCTTCACGATCGCCACAATTTTTTCTGATACATTTTCCGTACCAGATAGCCCCTGGCTCGCGCCTGAAGAGCGACTATGTGCCCTCTGAGGTGTCTAAACCTGTGCGACAATACTCGCGATCTGATCAGGGCTTGTAGTCGCATGTAACCGATGCGCATGCGTTTATATCGTTGCCGTTGCGCATAACCTCTCCAGTATTTTTGCACGACCGTTGCCGCTGCTCTCGTGCGGAGGAATCTTCTTCTGTAAACCCAGCCACGTATATTGCGTTGCAGTATTAGAATTTTTCGCGTTAAAACACGGTCGCGTTCTTGCTCCAAGAATAAGTCGTGGGCATCTTTGAGAAACACCTTCGTATGCCCGAGTTGATAATCCGATTTTCCCAACACTATGTGACAAATTTTTGACGTAACCGCGCGACAATCTACTTTATGGGCAGGTGGTATACCCGGTATCAAAAACCTGTATCTCTCGACGAATTCTGGAAAAGAATGCCTGATCGGGTAACCAGCCCTACGAATTCGGATCGTTTCCATCATGCCAGAATATCTTAATTGACGGCAACAAAGGCCTCTGTCGAACATCATCGGTTTCTTGTATTCGTTCGGTTTGATGCATCTGATGAAGAAAGGTTGACAACTGCACAACGTTTTCATCAACGAGTCCAAAGACTTTTTGAACTGGGTGGACAAGGTGGGTGTCCTTTTTCTGGTCTCGGACCCCATACCTATGTCCTCGGCGAAGCAAGCTTGCAGAAATTTGTTCGACGATATGTGAATCAATTGCAACAAATCGGCACTGAACGTATCCCTGTTCTTCTCGAGAAAACTTCTTGTATCGTAGAACACGACACCGGCGAAATGATTCAGGCCGAAAGACGTGTTGATATCTGATTTTGGTTTCAAATAATTCCGATGGCTTCCGTGAGTTTTATGTATCTTGGCCAGCATAGTTTGATCCGTGCCTTTGGGAAACTTTGATTCCTCGTCGATCAGTGCCATGATATTTAATTGCTTGATGGCTATCAAATCGAGGGCATCCTGATTGTCGACAAACTCGATGTGTTGCCAATTTATACCCTCGTGATTATATTCTTCTTGTTCAAGCTTGAAAATATGTTGGACGAAAAATTGTTGCAGATTTTCATTTGCGTAATTGATGCAAAATTGCTCAAAACTGTTGTGACTGAAATTTTCAAAACCGAATATGTCCAGTACACCTATAGCGCTTCTAGACGTGTTCTTGGGCCTGTAAATTGCTTCGTTTATCTTTTTTACGATGTGCACGAACAAACGTCCATATATTCCCTTCACGAACGCGTCCCTGATATCCACCGATTGTTCCCTGGACAACGTGGACACCTACGCATACATTACGTTTCTTCGATTAATTAGGAAAAAAATACTTTTCTCTGATTATCGCGATACGATATTTGGCGTTATGGAATAATTCCTTACTTACAACAGTCTCACCGTGAGCGAATATCGTTTTACGGGTAAGTGCGTCTATCAAAGACTGAACGGGTACGCCCAATAAATGCGCCACTCTTTGCACATTTGTTTGTTCCGGAATTTCGGTGGCGTCTAAATTGTCTGAAATAGTTATTTAAAATAATTAAACCAAATTATAACGAGAAATAGAATAGTATAAGCGGTTTCATATTATTATGATTATTATTTATAATAATTATAAAAGATTCTATACATTATTGCTATAATAGTTGTTCTTTCGAATTTAATATTATTATTTCAAGTAATGAAATTGCATTTTTATATTTTATCTCATATTTTTTCATATTGGATTGATGTAAAGTTCTAAATGTATGAAATAATCATCAAAAACACACACGTCTTACCTACGACGATAGCTCTGTATTTGACATTTCCCATATGCAACAAGGCAGCAAGAAGCTTAAGTATCTCCCATATTTCCATGTCAGAGAACAGTAAAACCTTCATTGCCGATCTGATGTCAGCAAATTCTGCAGCGTCATCTCGACCTTCGCACGTGATACTACCACCCTGAAAAGGGAGAAGTGATTTTAAATAGGTTCAAATCAAGCATTTTTTTCTTTTTTCCATTTTTCCATTTAAACGTTATCATCCATTCACATTACCCCTGTTAAATACTTGTACGAAGAAGCGTCTTCCAATTCCAACTTTTGCTTCTCTTCTTTCGAAAGACCAGCCAGCATGCAATAAAATACATGATAGTTTCTTTCGTCCAGACTTTGCGAAACTATTCGTGACTTTTCCAATAAATATTGCTCTATTTTTGCTCCCTCTATTACCCCTTGCTCGTTAAAGTGAATGTCAATGTATTTTCCAAAGCGTGATGAATTATCGTTTCGTACAGTCTTGGCATTGCCAAATGCTGGAAAATCCAAAATATCGAATTTTTCCATCATTATATTATATTACAACATGGATCGTCGTACACGTATATATATAGATTTACCTTCCAAGATGGGATTCGCTTCCAAAATTTGTTGTTCGATCCAAGAATGCTTGCCGCTAATCGCTGCCAAATATTGCAAAATTAGTTTCGTACTTTCCGTTTTGCCGGCTCCGCTTTCGCCGCTAAGACACAAACATTCGTGGATTTGACAAACCATTTCTAAATAGAAAAATAGTATAGAGAAGAAGGAGGCAGCCGCCCGAAATATTCAATCAAGTAGAGAAATAAAATAAAACGATGCTCGATACCTGATCACTATGCATTGATCTTGGCCATATCGATTCATATGTGCATAACTATTATCTCCAATTGCGAATATATGCGGCGGTAGCTCTCCGATTTTACGATCCTTGTACAATTTGATTTGTTCCGCGGTATAAATAGGCAATATTTGATATGGATTCACAGCGACTAGAATCGAACCGGTGTACGTCTGCATAAAAAAAATTTTAGAAATGTTAGAAACTAACTCGTTTAAATAATATATGTAAAGTAAGCAGAGAGATTCGAGACAATTGCTTACGTATATAAGATTCTCGTTATAACGGATCAACAAATTCCTTAAAATGCCCGCTTCATGGAGGTCTCCTAAACTGATCATATCTTCTACACCTTGCACAGAAGTGGCATGCATCGCTTTTATTCGCCTCTCTGGAGTCAGCCATTGTTCCTGAAAATATCAATGTCGTTTTATACTTTTTATACATCGATCGATAATATGCATTAATTATTATAGGAATTATTCTAATGGACAAGGTAAATCGAACAACAATTTATCGAAACAAGTCGAAAATTTGGATAAACGATACCTTGTTATCGTCGTCTTTCACTTGAATGCGTCTGCCTTCCGCGGAAATAACTCGTGCTCCGATGGCAACGTCAAATTCTCTCCCTGAGATTGGTTCGATCCATATGTAATCTCCCTGCAACGTAATTTTTTTATATTTCGTAATTTCCCTTTTATTTCATGCGTCTATTCTGGAAATACGCGTACACTTTCAAATAATAACAAATAGAATTGCTTAAATCTTAGCATATGAAGAAAAGTCAATTTCTTCTTTCTCTTTTTTTTTTTTCTTCACCTTCTTTTTCTTTTTATTGTCTTTCCGTGGTAAAATTTGCGATTAGAATAGATGGCGAGTTTTGGATGGTCAAAAAAAATTACACGCTATACGATTGAATAATAATATCGGATAATTAATTTAAAACTGGATACAATAATTCGACGTTCGTATTACAACGTGACAACCATTTTCTAAAAATCAAGAGACTCGATCGAGTCGAGTTCAACTTCTCCCTTTGAATTACCGTCGTTGCTGCCCGCACAAACGATAATGTAATTACCCAAAGAAACGAGTATTATTCCGGCTTCTGACGACGACGGTCATTATACGGACACCACGAGACGTGATGCGATGCGATCGATCATCTTTCGACGAACGACAAGTTTTCACGAATTAGAAACGACGTTAATTTGGTGGTAGGCAAATAATTTATCAACCGTGTCGACCGAAACAGTTTTTTTTCGGTTACATTTCGGTTTACATTCGGCCGAGTGGAAATGACCGATCAAGTAGCCATGCGCCAAATTTCCGTGAGAAATTATTTTCATCCGTAGTTATATCTTCCATTACACGCATTTATGTATTCGTATCGTCACGCAGATTAAATTAACAATGAATGTTACGTGACGGATATTCATCGATCTTAGATATAGACGAGAAAATCGGTATTATCACTCGGAAACCGCATGCGTTTCAGTTGAAAGATTATTTGAGAACCTCTAAACTAGCCTACACTTTTTACGGATATGATACTTACGCTCTATACGAGCGCACAAACTGTACCTGATATTCGTACACGTTCCGATTGTTCACCTCACCGGAACAACATCGGAAGAGTTACCTCGTCCGCTCGTTACCTCGAAACAAATCTCCGTTCAATTTGGCTCTTCTTTTGTCAGTCGGTTTTACTTTCGCCTCTCCGTGTCTATGAAAAATCATGATTCGTGCTCATGTATCTCTGATATCGCGAAACAGATTCTTTCCCTGTTTATTCCCCGATCTCGGAAAACAAGTTGGAACCGATGCAAGGAAATGAGATAGACGATAGATATGCATTATAGACGCGTGCGCACGCGCCACAAGGAAGGAATAGAATACGATATCGAGGATACAAACGCGTGTCCGGTAAAATGACTCGCGTCCCGTTATATGACGGCTGGTTCGTTCGCGCGAAATACTAAAAGCCTCTGTTCAGGGCATATGCGATGTGACCGTTAACTTATGCCTAATTAACCGACCATTCGTCTCGTTCTATGTTGCGTTAATATTTCGATGCGATACGATGCTTTAGGCCAGCTAATGTTATCGACTGGCGTATTTATATTTTTGTTTCGATCGATCGTAAATCTAAAACAGTTTTTATTTCGATCTCGATCAATATTCTCGAAAGAATTCTTTGTAAAATATCTATTTGATTAAAAAATATTAAAAAGCGAAGAATGGTCGTTTATCGAAGAGAATATCGTTTATTTTTTATTTCAATTCCTCCATCATTATTCACTGATCTATGAACGACGAAGGTTCATAAGCGAGATGAAGGTATAGTAAGAAAAAGATTTGAATATTAATTGAATGAAAAGAAATCCGACGCGTGTCCTCCAAGTATGACTTTTCATACGAGGAAAGAATCTGGAGATAGTTGATCTGCGTCATTTTCACTTGTCACAGATTCCTAGTGACCGTCTTTGAAGAATGCGACGAAGAAAGCGGTATATGATATATAATGTGTGCGAACATTGGATCATTTTTCTTGTTCCTCGATCTTAATCGATATATATATATTTTACAATTTATCGATTATAACCAAAGCAAAGAATAACCAGCGCAATATGACAACCTGTTGCAATAATACTTACCCGCGTGACGATGACCATCTCTCAAGTCGTGGTTGTCGGCACTCCGCCTGAAAGAAAACAAAACTTTCTTTTTCTTCTTGTTCTCTCATTGCTTGTGCACTCGTGTCTTTTTCTTATCTTTTTTTCGTGCACTCATATAACAGAACAAAAAGGGAAATGTTTCGAATCAGTTGAACGTCATTGAATATTTTTGAACAATACTTTTCGTAACAAACGCATAAACGTTTCGAATTGAATGAATGCGTTTGATATGCTCTATTGTACAAGTTACGTACAAGTCTATGTCGAACATTCTTACGCGAATTTATTTGAAGAAAAATTGTTCTGCGTATGCGATGATTATGTCCGGCTGATCACCGTTACAGTGGAAGCAGCACAAGCATAAACCTGTTTGCAAAAGTGGGTTAGGCAGTTTCTGCTGTTACCATTCAGCCGTACAACACCTTTCGAGAACATCCATCGAGGATGATTCTCACCATAAGATTGATCCCAATTACTATATCGATTCTGATCTCTTGTTTACAACGATACAATTTAAAAGAAGAAAATCGATAGAATTGAATCGAATCGATTTAATCAGGGATTAATCAGGGAAACATTTAATGAATTCGTAAACTTCGTAAGACAACGGAATTGCGGGATTTACGCGTCATTGATTTTGTTTGTCAAGAGATATAGATAAGTTCCTTCGACTATACTTGCGAGAACAACTTTTGGGTCGACGAACCGTTCGTTCGAATTCTTAATCCGAATTAATTCTGATCCATCTTAGAAAATAGGAAGGATGAAAAAAAAATTCTATTGAACTCGAAACCCAAAATGTAAATTGAAATCTGGTAAATAGGGAACGAGTTGTAAGAAACCATTCCACAGCTTTCCCTTGAACTTGAAAGATGAACGCGCGAAAAAGCGGCAGTCGTTGACTTTGAAAATATGTACGTATCGAGAGAATGGAGAACGTAGCTATACACCGTTTATGGGAGACTTTAATGGACGATCGGACGACGGATGCGTTTGTGCATCGGATACTTTACATTGTTGCGATTTTATTAAAAATTAACGGAAATTAAAATTTACAAATTTCCAATGAATCAAGAATCCAACGATCGATTCTATTCTCTGATTGCTCGTTCAATTTTCATTTATACTTCCTAACAACAGCATTGAAATCACACCTCTCGTTTACTCGCCACGCTTGCGCTTATTCGAGTCTGCATCTTACGTCATGATCGCTTTCCACGTGTGCATCTTCGCTCTATTATAACTTTTTTCGTATTATGCTAAATTTTTATTCCTATTTTTTTAGCTTTTACACGATATTGAAACAACATCTTTTTCACATTTTTTTCGCGCGATCGAAATTTTGTGCGATTCCCGCAAAAAATACACGCAAAATTAAAAATTAACAATAATAAAAGGAAACTTGATATAAAAGGGAAGAATAAATCGAACGAGGAAAATACGAGTATTTTAATAAACATTTAAAGATTCAAAACGAATAAAATATTATTATTTTTATCTGAATCTTAGCCTTATCTCGTCACTACTTATTATCTTATTTATTATATTTCGTTATGTATTTTTACACGTACTAACTATAATTACGCGAAATTATAATTGATATTGGATTTTTCTTTAAATTCTTCTAAACATTATTTTTCACGTAAAAAACTCATCAAACGAATATAAAACTTTTATATACAAGATATTTACATGCAATTTAAAGAATAAATATAGAGATAACAATTGAATAGAAATTTAAAAATTCAGATATTAATAATTTTTTTAACACTGCAGTAGCATAACAAGTAATAATAAAATTATTTATAACGTAATATTTTCGTTTGGTGGTAAAAGGAAAAAAGGACGCGTTTCCGTAGCGGCGTAAAAATTTTGTTTTCAACCAAGCATCCGTTATGAACAACGAAAAATTTTATCATTCCAAATCAAATATTTTTCATTTAATCAATAAACGAATATCTCGTGTAAACGATTCTCCCGTGAGAATGAATAAATACAAACGTACCTTATGCGAGTAACGAAAAACACGACGAAAGTGGTTACACGATGTTGGCACACTCCATTAAGAGGCACTGCACTACACTTTGAACGTGATGTGAAGCGCGCTTTTCATGTCCGACGTGACTGGAGAAGCTCGTCGAAGCTTAGCGCTTGAAAGAAGCAACGAACATGAAAAAAGAAAAGATCACTGACTACACTGAAAAATAGAACACAAAAAGCAACAGTAGTTGTTTCAGAGAATGGGCCACGACCGTGACCGGCACGTTGACGCGTCCACTCGGGGAGTTTCGGTTCGAATCGGGTGTGCCAGGTGGAAGCAACTGAAAGAGGTGGAAAAACTATCTTTGACTAAACCATGATCAAGTTTGGCTTCAGCTACGCGATACCCCACCAATCGTCATACATTTAATAAGTATTGATTCTACGTTTTTTAACAGTTCTCTCATATCTGCTTCCCTGAATCTTTCTTGATTCTTTCTTCATCGATATCTCGATCATGACGTCATACACTATATACATATCACTCGTGTATATTTACCTGCAACCTGTTGCGTTACGATTCGATACCATCTATAGTTTTTTTCATTGTCCTTCAAACTGTTTGAACAATGATCTTCTTACCGATCGAGGAATTCTACTTTATAGCTCTTGTTATTAATGGATGTATTACAGAGACCTAAACAAATCGTTTACATTGAAAATATATTTTTCATTTCATACGAATTTTACATGAATGTTATACATACATACATACATAATAATTTTTATAATTTTTAACATATGCATTAATACATAAAGTACTGAAAACTTCGGCAACAATAACAACACTAGTGATGTTATGCACGTTGCAAATTAACAATTTTATAAAAACGTGCCATATATATTTATAAATAAGATATTTTTTATACAACGAGAACAATACTTCCATTCTAACGATTTATTTTTTACGAATATTTCAAACAATTTTATATGGAAATTATAACAAATTACTGTACTGTCGTATTGTTATCGATGTTGTATATTTTAACAGTAAAAGTACGAATGAAAGTATATATTTTAAACAATTTTGATTTTGATCCCGCATAAATTACGCAGTTGATCGATGTCTTTTGATAATGAATAATTACAATGCATAACGAATATCATAAATTATTTCCTAAAATTAAGAAGTTACTATCATTCGATGTAACGAAGCAATGATAGATTCTATATCTAAATTTAGAGTATTGCTTCTTGATAGATATATATTTTTAATAAATGATCAATACTCTTCGCTTGGGTTCATAATAAGACTGATTGCATAGCAAAATATATTTCACACGTAGAATATATATAAATTAATTCCAAAACAACACATCGTTTAATTTTGAATAAAATATTAATATCATTTTTTATATAACTTTGTTTTATAAATAATTATATTTTTAAAAAAAGCACAGACGAATTTAATATATATAATACGTTTGTTCAAATTGCACTCGTATATTAATTTATTTAACGTGCTCCGATAATAAATGTTGTTTCTCTTCTCTCAGTTGCTTTTATCATCAATTATAGTATAATTGAGAAATCAATAATATTTGCTATGGTAATTGAATAATAAAAATTGTAAATGCATCCAGGTACAAAATATGCATGTTATTATTAAATAAAATTATTGAATAATTACACAAAGAATTAAATAGAATATAAATAGCATATTTTTGTCAAAAATCTATTTTCCGTTCTAATTTTTTATGTTCTTCTGTAAAAATCGTAACGTAGTCATAATTTTAATCAAATTGTATTTAAAATTTTGGAAATATTATTTTTGTGATAATGTATAACTTAAATTATTATTATTGTTGTTGTTGTTATTATTACTATTATTATTTTTATTATTATTATTATTATTATTATTATTATTAGCAGTAGTAGTAGTAGTAGTAATAGTAGTAGTAATAATATCTAATTATTATTATTTTTGCATAACCTGTACCTCATTTTAAATGTTTGAAAAAATATTGCATTTTACAAATAAATCAACTCTTGAAGTTTTTAAAAAATTATAATATAAATAATTAGGAATGCAACAAAGAGAACGACTAGGAGCAACATTGACAAAACTGTAAAAGTTATTGACAATGTTTTGACAAATTATATTATTTTTTTAAATTAATAGGCAGTTTAGAGCAGTTCTTAAAAAGTGTTGTATCTTTATATTAAATTATTAATCTAATATAATAATAATATAATTTTATAATGCACATAGTACTTTGAAGAAAAAGATAAGTCAAAAATGTTAAAAATTTTTGACTGTATATCAATCAGATAAATATAATTTAATTTTGTACTTAAAATATAAAATTTGTCATAATGTTATATGACGTAATGTATTTCTTAATTTTGATATTTTTTATTCAATTAAAACCAAAATAATTTATTCATAATTATTATGTTAACCTTCTAATGAAAAAGTAAGATTATCATTTTATATTTATTCCGTTTATGTATAAATATGTTAAAACATATTTATAACGAATTCAATTAAAAATTCAATCTATTGATCCATACTTTGGTCATTTGTAAATATTGTTATAATAAATGAGAACAAATAAAATATATATTATTTTCTATCATTTGTTGAATAAGTTATTGAATTTTTTTTTCACTGGAAGAGTATTTGCAAGTGATATACATATCTTTTTTTTTTTTTTTCAATTTTTTATATATTCTATTTCAATGCTGTAAAATATTTTAGAGATTCGGAATTTTTTTTATGTAAGAAGCAAATTGTAACATATAAAAATCTAGTAGTGCTTGCGATTAAATAAATGGATTTTAAAATGATTTCAATAACGATCGTAAAAATAGGCTCTGGATATTATACTTTTACATCGAAATATAACAATATTTTCCTCTTATACCTTATGATTTGATTAGTTTCGTTATTTATAAATAAACATATTTGGAAGTTCACTGAAGAAGTGCGGAAATATCCCAAATCTTAATAAGACGATCTTGACCAATAGTTAATAATCTTCGTCTAGAAGCATCGAGATCCATTCCAACAACATTATGCTTTGCATCATGGAATGATGCTAAAGATGTTTGGCTGTATAATAAATAAATACATAAATATGAATAAAATATAGATAAGTCTTGTTTGTTCCACTTTTACATATATTTAATCTTATATCTTTCTACTTACTTTGCAGCTTTAAGTTGGATATGACATTGATCGCATACTCTAACTTCAAATTCAAAACCCATTGCAGGTATTGGTATTCGTTGAGATGTACATCGAGCGCATAATGCACGACCACAATGACGACAATGATGTTGTCTCAAACCTAATTGTCGTTGATCCATCATTGCTTTAATATTCCAAAAGAATGGTCTTCCACAAGCCTAAATTTGTTATAATATTTATCTATATAATAAAAAATTGTATAGATTTATAATTTCTCATAATTATAAAATTGCTTACTTGGCACGTATCAGATTCTACCCATGCTGCAGTTTCTTTTCTATTTGCAGCCATATCCCAACACACTATTACACCATCTTCTCCTCCAGATAATAACATACGTTCTGCACTTGCATAGCATAGTGCTGTTACTTTATTGCTGTAAAATTATGGAATGTTGTAGAATGAATATTTATTTGAAAAGAATTTTATAGAAATCAACTTACTGATGTCCTTGTAATTCATACGCTGTACCCTGTCGACCACCGATATCCCATACAATAATACTTTGATCGAAACTTCCAGAAAATAAAAGTTGTTTTTCAGAATCCCATGCTAATGTATGAATGCTTCCTGTGTGTGTTTTTAATGTGGTAATTAGTGTGACACCATTAGTATCTAACTTCAACATAGCTATTTGTCCAGAATAATCACCGACAAAAGCATGTTTTGATTGTGTGTCAAATCTATAGTAGTAAGTATAGTTAATAATTATAAGTTAAGGAGATATTTTTAATTTTAAATAAAAATTTTTTAATAAAATATAAATTTTAAATAAATAAGAAATTATTTTTTATTAAAAGGATACTGCAAAGCAGTGTACCATGCATCTGTTTGATATGATCCTAACTTTTGCCCTGTTTCTGAACAATGTAATTGGAACATTTTATCTCGACCTATGCTTAACACCCATTCATAATTTGATGCAAATATAACACCTGTAACTCTTGCTTGATGTGCAGCATATTCACGCATAGCAGTCATTTGATTATAATCTTGTTCCAATATAAATTCCTAAAAGTAATACCTAACATATTCATTCTAAAATATAGAAAATATTAATAATTCTTTAAAAAGAATGATACAATACATACATTTATAGTTCCATTTTCTAAACCAACAAATAATTGTCTAGTTTGTACACAATAATGCATCGATGTTGCACCAGCAGCCATATATTGACAAACACTTGGCCAATAATGGCCAGAATCTCTTTTCAACCAAACTCTAACAGTTCTGTAAAAAAAAATGTTTTGTTAAAAATAAAAAGCAAACATTATTAAATAATTATTACATGAATGTGTATAAAAATTCAATTTATTAAACAAGAATTTATTAAACATTCATTTACCTGTCATCGCAAACACTAATTACACCATCTTCCCGCGGTATAATGATAGCCGCATTGACATCATCATTGCATCCTTCTAATTTCGATAAAAGTATAGGTTTTCGACTTGTACTAAATTTATCATGATTAACCCCTGGTGCAGGTTTTATTTCTGCTGCCATTTCAATCTTTGAAACGTAATATTTGAAGCAGATTTGTCATTTGACAGTTGTCAGACTTCAATATTAATCAGAGTTTATATACGTTATGAAGACGGAAAGCCGGATTTTTTTAGAGATTGTGAAGAAGAACCTATTGGCGCTATTCGTGATATTCGTTATTCGAATATTTTTTCCCCTTCTTTTCGAATTCCTTATTATCGACTGTTACGATCTTTATGAAAGATTTATTTGTGTGTGTCTGTGTGTGCGTGCATGGTTAATAGAAATTTATCACACAAATTGTGTTAACTAAGCAAACAATTGATAGTTGATTTCATCAATCTTTAATTTAATTTTTCAAAAGATAAAAAACATTTAACTTTAAAATCAAGAAATCTAAAGTTTACGATTTTGATTAGTAGATTAAGATATGTTTTGACGTTATAAAAGAAATTATATAGTATTATTCACTATAGTTGACAAATAGAACATATTATATAAGAAATATATTGAGCGGAAAATCTATATCATTCCTTCTCTATGTTTGTTCATATATAAAAGATGGAGTATCGTAGGAAAAATAGTAGACTGAAAATATACAAAAAATAATAATAATAAATTAGTTATTTGTTAAAATAATGAAACATATTTTCGTTATTTAATGTTTTAAACATTATCTATAGATTGTCTTTTTCTTAATAATATCAATATGTTGGGAACAAAGGTAAGAAACGAAAAGAGATTGATTAAATATTTTCCAAATATTTCTCCACATTCGAAAGTAGGTAAAAACATAAAAATAATAATTGATTTTCAATGATATTAGAACGATAGTAAAGACGATAATTTGAAAAGACAAGGCTCGTTCAGAAAGTTATTACCTGTAAACACAAACGGAGATTCTCAATTAAGTATGTCTGTGAAAATGATCGATAGGCCGATTGTATCACAAACTAATAAAGAATATACGATTTATTTGCAAGAATATAATATTTTATCTGAATAGTAAGTAAACTTTATAAGTATATCTAGAATTTATAGAAATTATTTATATTTATATATCTTTTATTATTATATAAATATTTAAAATGAATAAAATTTTTTTTTTAAATAGTAACATGTTATGTTCACAAGATCTGAAGGGAATTTATGTTATACCATCTGCTCGAAATTCCTTGTGTAAGTAATATAAATAAACAAATAAATTAATTCTTTTTTTTCAATGCATCTTATGTATGAGAAAGATTGCATTCAAATTATTTAAGTCAAATATGAATTGATTCTTAGGTCTTGCTTGTCCTGACTTGGTCTTGTATAATGGTTTACATGTAAATATGTGCATGATTTATTTTTTGCCACATTTTCTTGTATATGTGTTTATAATATACATTTATTAAACTATAATGAATTTATTTTGTGTTAGTATGGTTTGGTGTACAATTTGTGCGGCAAGGAATATATCAAGGAGGAATTTTTAGATTTGATATAACACTACCACAAAATTTTCCAAATGGAGAATGTCCTGTAAGAATTTATTGCTTAAATGCTATATGTAGCATTTCAATTATAATATTAATTTAATTATATAATGAACAAATATTATAGAAAGTCACATTTCAAACTCCAATTTTTCATCCTTTAATCGATCCTGTGTCTGGAGAATTAAACACATTATGGGGATTTCCTGAATGGAGGAAAAGTAATAGAATTTGGCAATTGATACAATTTATAACAAAAATTCTGTCAAAAGTAGATCTTAAGATGAATCCTGTGAATCATGAAGCATATAATTTGTATGTATCTAAAAAAGTATTTAATTATAAATAAAACACATTTTAATAATGCATTTGTGTTACAGATTAGAGAATAATTTCGAAGTATTTCGAGATCGTGTAAAAAAATGTGTGAGAGAAAGTTTAAACAAAGTTTACAATTCATCTACAGTGGATGATCCCCATTATATTATGTTTAGTCCATATATTGATGAACTTTATAATTCTATTAAAAAAGAATTTATGAACCTAAGGTATAAAAATATATGCATTACATTAATCATTACATTAATATTTAATCATTAAAAAAATATTTTCGTTTATACTTATTATTGCTTAAGTTATATGTAAACTAGAAATCTTTTTACTAAGATATGATATATGTATTGTTATTTTTGATAATGCTAAAGTTGTAAAATTAATGAAATGAAATTTCTATTAAATTTAATTTATTTCTAAAAGTTTTAAGCAATGACAAGTATGTGATTTTAAATTATTGAAGCTTAAAAATTCTTTCATTTGTTTTTTACTAATTATATCTTATTATGGGATATAGGAAGAAGAAGAAAACAAGGCACTTGGCTTATCTTGGGTGCAACCAGGATCATTACAACCATTCTCTAAATCTGAAGCAAGATAATAAGTAGCATTATGTATAAATACTATTTATAGAAAACATAATAACAAAACTTATATATACTTATATATACGTCCTTAGAAAATAAGAGGAACGTAAATTTGAATGCAGGGGATAAATTGTAATATATTTTTATAATTAGTAAAAAATGATTATATTTTATTTTAATTTTTAATCATATATGAAACTGTTTTGTATGTTAAGCATATATAATACTCTTATATTTAATTATAATAAATACAATTGTTGGCTTGTTACTACATGTAATGCAAATTTTTTTTTTAAATAAAGATAAAAAATAAACCATTATTAAATAAATAAATTGTAACATTGCAAACATTTTATATATTATTAGAAATCATTATTATAGAAGTATATTAAAATAAAACATATACTGATTATAAATGTCATGTAATAAATTTTTATTCTTGGACATGAAAAAATTTTGAAAATATTCTCGAGATTGATATAGATCTCGTTGTAATATAAACTTAAAGAATTTTTTATTAAATTTTATGATTGATATAAAAATATAATTTAATATTAGGAGAAAATAATAGATGTGCAAAAATTTTCTAGAATTTAATAATTTTATATATATCGTGATATTATATCTCTGTATATATAAAATATACGATGTATAAAAATATATATTGTCCAAAATAGTACATTTTGTTAAGGAAAAATTAGACAAAGAAAGGAAATAATAAATTTATACATTCGTGGCGCCATCTTATGTTTTGATATCGAAACTTAAACTTATTACTAGTATAGCAGAATATGTAAAGAGGTATCCGTATATACGAGTGTATATACACGTTGTGCCAGGATAGAGAAGACATACAATTAAGTTTTATGCGATTCCTGATACCTTTCGATATGGAAAACGTAATTAGTAAAAATTAACTAATAATTAACTAATTTTTTATTATTCATTTTTGCATTCTTAAGTTTATATGAGTTGAGATCTTAAAAAAGTTTCTTCTATTAATTTTCATAATATTCTTTTCAATTAATTATTTATTAATGATCATTATAGAGAAAGCATCTTAGTCACAAATTCTCAATCAATAATCGAGTAATGAATGTTCAATGTTATTATTTAAATAACAATAAAATTATGAACGAAAATAATACGGGAATATAGAGAAGTTATTATATATTATAGAGAAGTTATATAAAGAATGTTTGAACTGCATACAATCATATAGAAATAAATCTCATAATATTTCATTAATATATTATAATAAATATGATATTATTATATTATTATATTGATTGTATCAGCCTGTACATGATACATATTTATCATTAATTAATAACTGAAAATTAATTGAATTCAAAGAAAAAATTCTTGAATTTTGAAAAAAATTTCCTATTAAATTTTATATCAGAAATTTGTTTGAAATTCTAGCTTTGAAATGCAAACTTAAAAGTGCGGAAAAATTTTTAATAATAAATTAGTTATTAATTAATTTTTAATGATATCTTTTAATATAACATCACAAAATGACCTCCTTGCGCATTCTGTTATGCTAATAGCAGTTTGGAACTTCGAGCATCAAAATACGAGATGGCGTTGATTGAAAAATTTTTCAATCATTGTTTAACTTATCGACAAAATAGATTAAAAATTATAAGATCGAAGAGAAAATAAAAGTTATATTCAT